CCAACTCGCCTGTACATTACCCTTGATAGACTCTGTAACATTTTCAGTGACACCATTTTTGCACAATACATCCTCAATTACCGAGCAATTGCAAAGTTCAACTGCATCAACTAGTTCTCCTACGTTTTCGACAATACAAGACAAAACGTCTCTTGAGCCAATTTTTACAAAAGAGGTGCATGTCTCCCTTTAATTTATTTTTGTTTCACAACAAAAGCAAATAAAATAAACTAAACATCTATTAATGTTTCAAATTGTTTTATTTCTTAACATCGAATTTAAATTTAATTTTAGAATGTCGAGTGTAAACAGTCACTAAATTCCTCTAAAAAACGAAAGTTATCACCATCAAATGTAGATAACTGTATGATAAACATGTCTAAGCTTGGTCAACAAATTATTGAAACCGGACAGCAAATAGCGTCTGCTCTTAAGCCAACTATTCTAACTGATCAACCTCTTTTGGAAAGTATTGGCGACACCTTAAAATGCATTGCAGAGTCAACAAAAAGTCTCGAAGAGTCATCTGAAAAGATTGCTAATTCTTTAAAAAAAGATTTTCATTTCACACACTAAATTCCTTAAATAAAGAAAGCATGTTTTTTTTTGAATAACATTTTTATCTAATAACACAACGTTATAAAACATAAGCATGTCTATTGGCAAACATGTAGTTTTTCAAATTATTTCTTCTAGTTAAACCAAGTCGAATATGGTTGATTTGTCCTCGACCAACGTGATAAAAATTACTATTATTTTCAGTGCTGTTATTATCTGTTATCATCTCAGTGTTACCAACTGCATCATCACTAGCTACTACATTACCTGGCTCTTCTAAACCCAATGAATTGCACATATTCTCAAGTAATACACAAGTATAAATGATTGAACTGCACTTGGTATTGAAGAGTTCCGCCACTTTTATGTAGACATCTCCACCTGTTTTTGAGACTGCTAATACAACGTTCTATTCTACTTCGAACCCTTGAGTGGGTTTTGTTGAAAAACATTTCTTCAGGGGTTATTGCAGGACTAAATGGTGTAATCATAACTAGCGATAACCCGTATCCCGAATCACCAATAAGAAAACCCGCAACTGGATCAGCTTCCATCGTTTGTTTTAAAGTAGAATTTGAATAAACAAAAGCATCATGACATGATCCTGGATATTTAGTTACTACATTTCTGAACTGTCCATCATAATCGACAACAAATTGGCAATTTATAGCTGAATAGCCTTTTCTAAAAAATGAAGCAAAACATATTAATAAGCAAAACGAAAAAATTTTTATAAGTTAAAATGTATAATTACACTATAACTATAATTAGGAACTATAATTGGAACTCTTCAATATGATTATTAATAAAAAAAATTGAGTAACCTCCTTGACTGTAGTGGCCCCCTCGGGCCTTGGGGAGGTGAATAATTAAAATTAAAAAAAATTTAGATCCTACAGTAATAAATACTGAATAAAAAAACAACTAAAAATGTCAATCATATTATTTAATAATAATTTGTATACTACTCAAGCCTATTTAAAGACTACTTTGGTTCATTTAAAAACTATTTTTTTTACCTGCAAATAAAAGCTGGTTCATCAGCCACAGTGACTCCTTTGATGGGCACCATAGTACCATCAATTAGTCCCAAACGACCCTTTACTCCAAAAGCCTCAAAATAACATTGTTTCACTTTAGTTATTTCCTCTTGACTACTGTACCATGACAAGGTAATGTAGTGTTGCATAAAGGACTCACAAAACTGATGGATTATTCGATTAGTGCTAGCCTGGCTAATCTCAGAAGTGTCGCCTAAAATTAAACAATAATAAACTTTTATAGCTTCATTCATGTAGTTTATGATTGAATTTATGAACTGTTTATGTTTACGAAAAATTCTTGGATAAAAACTTTGATTTTGTACAAGATGTTTAACCTTAACTTTTAACCTTACAAAATAATACATAGTTTTGTGAAATTGCAGTTGTTCTAAAAAAATTAATATGTTTTGTTAATTTAAAAAATCATGTTTGCTTTTTGTCTCTTAAAAAAGGTACATTTATAATCTAAACACTGGACTAATATTAATTAAGTGAAGCATTAGCTAACATGTTTACTTTTTTTAAGTATTTTTAAATACATTTCAATAAATATATAAATATATACACATAATAAAATTCTTACCTATTGGATTTTGAAAGCTTCCTGTTACTAGAAACCTTAAAGATACAAGTACTTTAGTTTCTGGTAAAATGGAATTGTTTTGGCCAGTTGTTGAAGACAGATCATGCTGTAGAGTGTTAACAATCTCAGATATTTTACGTGACGGTAAACGATTTTTCTGTCGACATTCAACATCTGAATAATCATTAAGTACAGCACGATAAGCCTTTCGCCAATTTTGATTTTGGAGTTCAATTTCTTGAATCATTTGAATATCCATTACTTAACTAGAATATTTCAAATAGCATATCAATTAGCTAATTTAAATGCTATTCTATATAAAATAACATGATATTATTCTGTATATTTTACTAAATTAGTAATTTTAAATTAATAATGTATTTATTGCTCTTAATAATAAAATTATTATGCGCAATAAACAAATTTTCGATATAACTCGCTATTGATAAACACGTTGTTGATATAACTAATATATGTACATATATTAAATTTAATATACACATATTTTATTATAATAAAATGTGTGTGTAACAATGTATAAGTGATGTTACTCACACATACACATATATTAAATATGTATGTATGTATAAGTAACATATAGTAACAAAATATAAATGTATATTAAATTTAATATATGAACATATATTAGTAATATATATTATTACTAAATAACTTTGATGAGTAATGTACATTATTATTTTATGTAGGGTAAAGCGGGGTATTAAGCCCTATGGGACATTAAACCGCATTTACTCTGTTTATATAATAAAATGCCTAAATAATATTGCATCTATATTAGCATAAATATTATAAATCTCTTAAAAAATATCATAAATCTCTTTCTCTTTCTGAGAGAGAAGTAATATTTAGAGAATATTTAGAGGTAATAGAGAGATTATAGTAAAATAGTAATAGAGAGTAATATAGTAACAGAGAGAGAGAGAGAGAGACAAGAGTATAAAGTATATACTTCAATAATATTATTGTATATAGTTTTGTATATAGTATTTGTATAGTATTGTATATAATATAGTTGAATTATAATACAACCATAAGTTAATATAGTATGGATATATCATATAGTTTTGTAGTATGACAATAAATAGCTATTAAGGTAACTTAACTTATTTACTAAATTATTGTCTTACTTCAAATCTATATGATATATTTATACTAATATGAATATATCATATTGAATCATTAAGTTATCTTAATAACTCTCATATATATCATTAAGTTATCTCAATAACTATTTATTATCATACTACAAAACTATAGGATATATCCATACTATAATACCTTATGGTTGTATTAACACAACAATATTATATATAAACTAAAACATATATACTAAATTAAATAAATATTTTAATTGTATACATATAGAACAAAATAATACTATATTTTATAAAAACTAAAACAGGGAGAGCGACCATAGTATTACTATGGTCATTTTCCTTTTTTAGCCAGGTTATAAGAGCTCTCATATCTATATAATATCTATACTATCATTCTATATCTATATAGTCATATTATCATTCTATATAATGGATGATTCGCTCTAGACTCTAGAGCGAACTATCCATTATATAGAATGATAATATTTGGTAGAATATATGTGGAGAGCTTTCTAGAGATCTCTCTTATATGGTATTAGATGGTTCACTCTAGACTAGAGTGAACCATCTAATACCATATAAGAGAGATCTCTAGAAAGCTCTCCACATATATAATACCAAATAAGAGAGCTAGCTCTCTTATATGGTATTAGATGGTTTGATTTAAAGTGAACCATCCATTATATAAAATGTATATATATATATATATAAATATATATATATATATATATATATATATATATATATATATATATATATATATATATATATATATATATATATATATATATATAAATAAATAAATATATATTTTTTTTACCTTAAAACAAGCTTATGGAGTACTTCTATATTTTTGGTAAATATAATAATATATTTTCCATATATTAACATACGTTAAGTTATTTCTTTAATAATATAACTTTAACGTTTTTTTATACAACAACAATGTCAATATATTATATTTCTATTGTTCAACAAAACAACAATTTGTTGTTATTGTTTAAAAAAAGGTTATAGCTGTATTTTTTAAGTAAAAAACTTACGTATGATAACAGAAGATAAAAATGCATATGAATTTAATATTGATGATGAAGATAGCGATATCATAATTTTATCAAGATCGTTTTGAAAATAACTTTACTTTTGTATAAATTTTTGTTCCAACAATGTATAAATTGTTTTTTAGGTTTTTTTGCTTTCCATAATTGCTTTTCAATTTCTATAATTTAGTACCTGCGTTAAAAAAGTAATACATGGCAGATTATTTGTAATACTATAACAGCAGTTAGTATTATATTATAAAGTAAATTAAATTATAATATAAATTAAATTAAATACTAGTATTAATATTAAGTGAAAGCTGTAAAAATTAAGAACAAGATGTGCAGTACAATAGCATAAGATATCGAACTATGTCAGCTATTAAAAGTTTATGAAGAATACTGTTTCTTTTCTTACTTATAACACATAATTAAAGCATATAATTATTGAATTAACTTACTTAAAGCATATATTTTTTGAAACATGTATAGTTATTATATAAGTAATAATATTAAGTAAAAGCTGTAAAAATTAACAACAAGATGTGCAGTACAATAGCATAAGATATTGTACTATCCCAGCCGGCATTATTACGTTGTTTCAACATTGAAATTTGGTTGAAGCGTTGTTTCAACGTTGTTCAACTATGTCACAACGTTGAATCAACGTTACAGTTTAAACGTTGATTGTTTAACGTTATTTCAACGTCATTATTTCAATCATTGTTGACAAAAAATACGATATAAAATTTATGTGCGCGCAGAAATGGAAGTTAAATCGTAAACATTATTTCAACGGTTAAAGTTATAGAAATTTATAATGGAAAAAAAATGTAAATACTGAACTTATATCATATAGAATTTTCAAGAGATCGAAAACATGTTCAGACGACTTTCCTGAAAGAATATTATTGTTTAAAAATCGATATTTTTTTTAACTTGGGCTACAATGCTCAAAGACTGATATTATTAAGTGTAAATATAATACAGCTTTTTTTAAAAATGATCCATTAAATTATGTTGAATTTAATGCTAAGCGTTGTTTTTTAATAGAGCATCAAGAATTAAAAAAGGAAATTGGTATCTTTAAAAAAAAACCTTCAGCACGAATTAAAAAAATAAAGATTTATTTGAAAAATTAACTTCAACCACATCAGTTATTATTATGAAAACAGACAAACTTGTATATAAACATAATCCAAACAAATCGTGTTATTGCAATTTACTTGTATACAAACATTTATTTTGAAAATAATAGATCTTGCGACTTTTATACTGGCCTTACATCTGTCAATGTGTTTCATCAGTTAGTGCAGTATCACCATTAATCAAAAGAGATAAAGTGATATTAAAAAAACATTTACTTCTGTTTCTTGAAATTTAAAAAAATCCTTAACTACTTGGACCAAAATAAATGAAATGCAGCAAAGATAAATTTTTAATGATGTTAATACTTGGATTATTGACAGCTGATTTTGCTGACAGGTTGAATATGGTTTTTGTTCCAAGTAAAGATGTTATAAGACAGGCAATGCAAAACAGATTTTAGAAATTAAATTATTCAGACTAACACTAAATTTCAGATATGACAGAATTTATTATGGAAACACCTTAACATTTCGACTTACAGAAACTAACAGGGAATGAATACAAACATTACAACAATATAAAAACATTAGTACCCGTAGCTCCAAATTCATCAATTATTTCTTTAAAAAATTTCTAAAGCTTACAGAAGCTAAATTTTGGATAAAAAAAAAATACATATCGCAACAACTATTTAGATTGTATTACAAAATACTTTTGTATAATGTATGATTAAGGCTTTAATATTAGTTTTTTAATACAAATAAAGTGATTTTAATTAAATCCATTTTTATCAGTCACTTTAAAAATATGATGAGTATTTGTATAAAGATAATTAAAATTTCAAACAATAATATTAGCTTTACTTGTTGTTGTTTTTTTTTAGGTGAATCAATTGCAATTGATGGAATATCTTTAAAATGCTGAGGTAATCAAAATAATTTTTAATTATTCAGAAATTTTAAGGATTAAATTATTTAGCAAAAAAATTGTTTGATAATGAGTTCAATTTAAATTAAAAAAAAAAATTAGTATTAGTTCTCGCACAATTAATATCAGTACTCTTATCTATTAAAATTTAGAATATTTTCCAACAATTTTGTGACCTCCATGAATATGAAGGGGAAAGGTGGAAATATGCTTTAAGAGCACTCATTTATATGGTGTAGTGAAAGGTATACCTTTATAAGATATGTAAAAATTTTTTATTCCCATTTTTTATATATTCAAAAATTTCTCCTTCTGTTTTTTTTTTTTTTTTTTTTTTCTAATTCTTTTTTATTAACAGCTTCTTCTATTAAATACAATGGAGCGACTGAAACTTTAATTGATGGCATTTTGTCTAACTTCCGAAAATGCGCTTCATTTCGAAAAGGTGGCGGAAAAGAAAAAAAATTTATATTGATTGATACAAATTTATATTTATAAAAATCGATCTAAAATTTCTTTATTGAAATATTTACATATATTTCAATAAAGAAATATTTTCTTTTTGTCTGTTAATATTTTTTTTTCAGTGTTAATTCAACATTACAAATTAAAAATCAATTATGAAAAAAGCCTAGAATTGAGTTGGTGTTTTAAGTAAAATAAGAAAAGCCCAAAAGTAACTGATGTAATATTTTTATTTTTTAATAAAAAAAAATTCTAATAATGTTTAAAATTGGTATTAATATTAATGTTTATTAGATGAAGATGAGTAAAAAATAAGTAATGTTTATTAGATGAAGGTAATTAAAAAAATAAGTTACAAGTTATTTTTTGGTCTTGAAAATTGTATGAATGATAATTTATTATTTATCAAAATCTTTTTAATTTTGGTTGTTTTTATGTTTTAATTAAAAGTAGAAATTATTGTGTCATATATTATAATATACCTTATATTATACTATTATATTTTATATTAATAATGAGTATTTTTGTTTTTTTGTATTTCTATTTTTTTTTATTATTCCATAATTATCTTATGTAGATGTTTATGTTTTAGCAACCTCGTATTCTTTCATTATTTGTCT